TAGGTGTCACTTATGTATTCTTCAAAGCTACTCAATTAGGCAGATGGTGCAAATGAAAAAAAGAAGGCTGGGACCAAACTCCAAGCACCCCTCCATTTAATAGTATGGAAAAGAGAACCCAGCAAATAGACTTAACGAGGTAGAAGAATGAATTAGGGGTGTCAAGGGGGCATGAGAGATGCCAAGCCACGAATATGTTTCAAGTTGGAAGCCGTGTTCAACTGTTGAAAATGCTGCTGCATAATCAAAAGCAGTTCAGTGGGGTGGGGCTCTACAGGAGCTGAGGCCAGATGGCCCGGCATTGACAGGTGAGTGGAGATGTATGAGTGGGCCTTTTGAGAAGCTTTACTCTAAGGAAAAGAGGACAACGAGGTGAGCACTTGAGCACTGGGAACAAGGACATAAAGGAGAAGATGATTTAGGATGTTTATCTGAATTCATATGCAGAGGGAAAGAACACAGGAGACAGAAGGGGGAGAGGGGGAGAACAGTGGAGGAGTGAATGCAAGAGGGGCTTGGAGATAAGGAAGGAGATTGGAGTCCAAGCCCCACAGTTCACCAGACTGAGCTGGGATGCTAACTCTGTTCCATCTGATCCAGGTTGCAAGCTGTTCCCCAGACTCTCATTACCTCTGGTCATTGTTTGCTTGCTCATGAGTGTCACCAGCTCCCCAGGGGGGGTCGGTGTGTTAATCTTCCACTACCATCTCCTCTGAACACACAAGCCTTACGGTCTTCCTCACCCTATCTAGGTTGTGCATCTACCCAGGGAACTGGAGGGGAAAATAAGCAAACTGAAGAAAATTAATTCTGATCTATTTTATACATTCTGTATAAATGCATGAAATACATTATGTTTGACAGTGGTAAACAGAGAAGCCAAAAAAAATCCAATTTATCACTTTAATTATATATGCTTTTCTTCCTCAATCTCCAGAGAAGAATAAGCCTCCAGCAGTGTTCAGCCCCTTCTATGAAGCCATTCCCAAATTATTAATGCTGCTCTCAGTAACCGTGTGCTCGTAGTGACAGACGTCCTATTGAAGCACACAGGCAATGCTTAGCATGCTTCCTACCGAGGTGCATATGTGAAGGGGTGTACAGGGGACACAAGGGGAAAGTGAGGAACACGGAGGTGTGAGTCAAAACAACAGATGAAACTGAAGTCCACTCCAACTCCACTGGTCCAACCAACCAACCACCTTTAGTGACAGCAGTCTCACCCCACAACCCCGGACAATTTAGCAGCCATCCACACTGTCCCTATGCAGAAGCAGGAGCACAAAGAGGAGACTGTATTGTTTGTTTTGTTTTGTTTTGTTTTGGTGAACACAAACTCTGACAGACATGGAAGTTCAGCTAGGAACAGGACATGACTGGTCCTCACCCCCGCCCCCAGAAACGAGTAGCCCTGACAAAAGAAATGAATTCAAGGGGAGGTTGTACCACAAGATGAAGGCGCTGGCTGCTAAGGCAGGATGTACAGTGCACCAGCACAGGCATTGGTCAGGACAGGTAGAGGTCTGTGTCAAATGGGGTTCTCTAGAGGGACAGAACAAATACAATGATATACATTACAAAGGGCATTTACTAGATTATAGTGTGTTAGTGACAACATTTTCGATGGCTAATTTGCACTTTGATTTCAGTCCAAATCAAGGCACTGGATTTCTGACTTGGGAATTGGGGTAAGTGGACCTGTTAGCTCACACAGAAAATACCAGGGGGGAACCAGGTTAGGAGGTTATCAGTTTTTTCCTTGTCACATCACAAAAGCAGCTTAAGGAAGGAAGAGTTTGTTTGGGCTCATGGTTGAGGATACAGTCCATCATGGCAAGGAAAATGGCTATGGAGGCTTGAGGTAGCTGGCCACACTTGTATGTGGGCTGCTGCTCCACTCACTTCCTCAGGCTAGACCCAAGGCCCTGGGATGGTGCTGCCAACGTTCAGTGTGGCTCTTCCTTCTCTGGCTAATCTTTTAAGGAACATCCTCAGAGACACACCCATATGGAGACATATTTATTACCACGGTGATTCTAAATCCAGTCCAGGTGACAATGAAGATTATCCCATCGAGGGAAGGAAGAATTCAGTAGGTTGAGACAAATGCCTGCATGGCCTAGAGCAGCAGCTGGACATTCATATCTGATATTTGGGTAGACCTTGGACTAGAAAGACATACTGGAGATTCACTGAACCACAGACAGTAATTTAAATCTGTGGCATGGGTAAGAAAACAGAGGCCTGGGAGGAGTCTGCACAGCTCTTCCCAAACCTCCAGAGAAGGGAAGCTGTGCTTGCAGGGCATGATGGGAAAGTTCCATACAGAGATGGGAGGCAAGTGAGGAAACAATTGTATCTTGGTTTTAAAGAATGCAGCAGCAATCAACAGGAACAATGCTGAGTTTCTCTCAAACAACATGAGCTTAAGCTTGATTACTTGATACACTAGAAATATGTATGGTGGAGGCTGGAGGCAGACAAGCTGGTTTGAGTTGAAAGGAAAGGCAGCAAGCACACCTAAGGATTTCCCAAGCTTTTTTTTTTTTTTTTGCTCTGTGGTACATGTTTATTAAATCTGTGTGTGTGTGTGTGTCTGTGTGTGTTTGTGTGTCTGTGTCTGCGTGTGTGTGTCTGTATGTGTCTGTGTCTGTGTGTGTCCCCGTATGTGTGTCTCTGTGTCTCTCTGTGTGTGTGTGTGTGTGTGTGTGTGTGTGTGTGTAGGTGTTTTACCTGCATGTTTGTCTGTGCACCACATGCATGCAGCCAGCACCCATGGAAGCTAGAAAAGGGCATTAGGTCCTCTGAACCTGGAATTACAAATGATTATAGGGTGTCATGTAGCTACTGGGAACAGAATCAAAGTTCTCTGGAAGAGTTAGCCAGTGCTCATCACCAATGAACCATCTCTCTAGCCCCAAGATTATCTTTAAGTACAATGTTTAGTGACTGAGTAAATTTTGGATCCCAGATAGAAACATGGCCTTACCTAAATGCCCTGAAAACTGAGAAGATCAGTATCTTATAACACATGTAACCATTTGTGGCACCTGGCGCAGAAGGGCTATCAATGGAATGTCACAAGTGTGACAACAGAGGAAGGGCAGCTGGCTTGTTTGGAGTGGCTTTAAGGTGAAGAAAACATGAGCATCTTTCAAAAGCATCTAGTGAAAAGATCCAATTTTGACATGGCATGACTGAATTCATGAGAGGCAAAGGTAGAATAGCCTTGGTAGTATAAGGCTCCCAAGAAGGCATACAAGAACCTAACTGCAGAAGAGGACAGGGACAGTGGAAATACAAAATAGTCTGTGTGTGAAGTATAGTTCTCTGCACAATATTAAAAGCTGGGTGTGATTATTACCATGATAAAACTTTAAATATGACCTTCAGTAAGGTTAAGCCATGCTCCACCCACTAAGCAGCTTGGCCAATGCTTTAATGCATATTTTCTGTCTCCAGCACTCCTAGGAACTGTTCTTTGATGTATCTTGAACCTCACATGCTGTGCTAAGACTAGAGACCCAAAGACGAATTGAATTCCACACTTGACTTTGAAGTGACTGAACATGAAATAGAGGAAGATGATAAAAACAGATGCAACACCATGTGATAAACAGAGTAACAGGGGAATGCCTTAAGAGGCACAAGACTATATTCTAATATATGTCTGTCTTTTTCTGAGCTCAAGAAGGCACAGAGGGACTGGGAATAGAGAAGAACTTTGAGAAATTTGTTGGCTGGAAGGATTGTTGAAAAGGCATGTGGAAGGAGGGGTAGGTGAGTGGTTGAATGGAAGGATGGGTGAAGAGAGAAATGTCATGTGGGTATTAATTTTTTAAAAAAAGAAAAATTTTCCCTAGGGCAACTGTTGTTCAGGTAGCCACAAGAGGTCACTGCAGACCTGACTCAAGCACAGTTTCCCATTGGCCCTTCCAGGTTCAGCATAGCTACCTGGAACGGAAGGGACAGGCAGAGGGAATTGCAGGAGTTGCCCAGATTCCCATTTGGCTCCTTCCTTTATCTTACTCTTCATCTTTCAGCTCCTAGCCTAAGTTCTAGGCATTTAATACACATCTCCAATTAGTCCTGTCTTTAGAATGTAACTCAAAAAAAAAATTTTTTTTTTTGGGTGGGGGATTCTGTCTTTCTTGAATCTCTGTTTCCAGCAAGCCATGTGGTTCCAATCACAGACAAGCTGGACCCCAAGTATCTCCACTCAAGTTACTTCACCTTTTTTTGGACCTCCCAAGAAGTGAAACTTGCAAGGAAGTCTAGTAGTTCCAGGCTCACTGTTCCTTTAACAATGATAGCCTTCATCAAGTACTTCCTCCTTATGTGGCATGGCTCTAATCCTGTGACAACCAAGAAGGCAGCCAGAAGCCACGTGTAACATTAAATATTGAATTAACTAAAACACAGGCAAATGCAATTGTAGCTCCTCAGCCTCATCAGCCAATTTCAAATATTTGATAGCTACGATCCAAGTGAGAACTATTGCAGGAAGCAGCCAGGGGACATTTTCAGCATCTTGGAGTGCTCCAGAAGACAGCACTGTCTACACACCTCATGCTTTTATTTCACTTTTAGGGTGAAATAAAATTATTTATTCACCTTAGAGATAAGGATCCTGATACCCAAACTGTTGCAAGCTTAGCCAAGGTATCTCAGCAGATTAAGAATCAAAGCAAGGGAGCTAGAAAGATGGCTTAGTGGTTAAGAGCACTTGCTGCTCTTCCAAAGGACCTGAATTCAATTCCCAGTACACATACGGTGGCTCATAATGAACTGTAACTCCAATCCCAAGGATCTAATGCTCTCTCTCTCTCTCTCTCTCTCTCTCTCTCTCTCTCTCTCTCTCTTCTAGCGTTCAAAGGTACTGTCCTGAATGTGGTACACAGATATACACTCAGGCACAAACAACAGACACACAAAATAAGACCAAGGATTCGAGCTTGAGTGGAGTCTAGCCTGCTGCCCTGTGCCCAGAGATGTCCCTAATGACCATTCTCCTGAGTTCACCCTCTGACCTCCTGGGCGCTAAACTGCCATTTCTCAGACCCCAACAACCATTGGCCCTCACAGTTGTTGTCCTGACAATGACCTACACAGTTAAGAACCTGGGCTTCCAGCCTCTTATGGAAGAGAGTCCTATCTTTATGTCTAGTCCCCTGCAGGTACATCTAACCTGCAGCCAAGGATATGAATATAGCCCAACACAAAATTATAAATTTACTCAAAACATTAGCAATTTTCTTTTTGTAACTCAATTGCATGGTTCTCAGGTGGACTTTGTTAGTAACAATGTCGTGTTGCAATGTAAGAAGGTGTGATGGGTTTGGAGCCTAACTCATAGCAGTCTCCATTCAGTGTAGCCTGGGTCCTAGAAGATGTGTGACCTGGGCAGATATGTAACCATACTGCTATTCTCTTATGTCACCTACATTCATAGGGGAATGGTGGGCAGCCAGCTGAGCTCAGAGAGCCAATCCATTCACATCTGAAGGTACAGAAGCATGTCACCTGTAAGGGTGACATGATAAGTTGGGATTCACTTCACACTCACAGCTTTTGGGACACAATGACAGTAGATGAGGCCAGAGAGATGCTTTGACCATTCTGTATTCAAAACATCAAGGATGCCTTGTGTATGAACCCATTTGTGGTTACCCATCCCCTTGTCTCCTTCCCTGTAATGACCTGCACCGCCCGCTTACCCATTGCTGAACAAAGTTGAAGAAAACTCTGCAAAGAATGATGAAGGAAAACATAAGTACCCTCTAGATAGACACTGTACTCTTTCTCACCTCCTTACTACTGGAATACTGAAGCAGCCTGGTGACCAGGTCACTGCCTGTCAGTGTCAGGTGGATGTCCCATTTCCTCTGAGTCAGAGAATCTATGGTGAAAATACAGGAAACTCACTCTGTCTGCTCTTGCCTTCAGCAATAAGCACATGGAGTCTTTTCCCAACCACATAGAACTGCTCATGTAGACTTCCTCAGAAAGCTTAACTGCCGGAAAAGTCCCCGTGCTGTTTTACCAGATTCTTCTATCTTTCATCTCAAAGCCACGTGTTCTGTTCTGTCCTTGGAACCAATGGAGATCTCTGTGAGGGACCTTTGTGTCCTTTCAAGATTTTATCTATTACAAATAAAGCTTGTATGAACACACTTTGGGTGTCAGGAAGATGCTGCATCATTGAATATCCACGTTTTACTCTTAGGAAATCCTATCAGGCCTATTACCAACATAGTTTAATCTATTTCTGAGCCTATGCTTCAGCAAAAAATCATGGCAGGAAGCATACAATGGTACCTGTTTCATCATGGCTACTGGGAAGCAAAGAGAGAAATGGGAAGAGCCCTGACCCCACAACACCCTTTGAGGGCATGCTTTCCATGACTGCAGCCTCTCAAGTTAGCCCCAATTCTTAAAACAGACCTTGGACCAAGCCTTTAATACATGGATTTTTGGAGAATATTCTAGAGCCAGACTATAGCAAGGAAGGACTTCATCAGACTACTGGAGGTCTCTCAGGGATAGAAGTTGGATGATTAGTGGTTCCAATATTACGCTATCACTCGGGGAGGCTGAGACTGAATTTGAACAGTCACTGAAGCTTTCCAGTAGGAATAATCCACAGCTATAACCTGTTATGAGCAGTTTTCCTGCCAGCCTGGTCCCAGAGCTTCGTCAGTTCCAAATAACACACAGAGACACTGTATTAGATATAAAGCTGTTGGCCTGTTAGCATTTCTTATTGGCTTGCTCTGTCTTAAATATTAGCCTATTTCTATAAATCTAAGTATTTCCACATGGTCTTATCTTACTGAAGAGAGGGTCCAGACTTCTCTCAAGTCCCTACATCATGACTCTCCTCTACTACATCTCCCAGAATCCTCCTTATCTCCTAGTCCCACCTATCTCGCCTTCCTATTTGCCAACGGTGCTTTATTCATTAACCAAAAAGAGAAACATATTTACAGAATGACATCTCCCATCAATAACCCATCCTGGTTCCCTGGCATGAGTCGTGTGAAACCACAGGAAACCCTTATTAGTGATTTACCTGACTCCTTCCTGTGTGTGTGTGTGTGTGTGTGTGTGTGTGTGTGTAGGGAGAGAGAGAGAGAGAGAGAGAAAGAAAGAGGGGGGGGGGAAAAACGCCATTTGAGCTTGTCAAATTTCTTCTCCACTTCCTCTTAGGTCAGAAGATCCACCCACTCAACCCAGGTCAAGAGGACTAATTGCTGTATCTCCATTTCCAGGTCGGCCTGCTATTTGGCATGCTCTGTCTCAGGAAAGGCACCATGCTGCCATTGGTGGTTCTGCTGCTCTTTGGTGAGTTACTGTGCTCCAGGAAAGTGGTCTCTGAGACATAGTTCCTAACTGTTCTTTTTCCAGATTCATGGTGAGTTAGTGCCTGGAGCTTGAGAGAAGTGTATGCACATTGGCAAGCTGTGAGAAGCTAGTATGGGGTGGAAACATTCTGCAATGTCTCCTAGCTCCTTTGCCAAAGTTCTTGGCAAAGCAGGCCCATCATCAGAAATAAATTAGAGAGGCAGACTGTAAGATCCCAGGGCCTCCCAAAGTCACTTTTAACCCCATTTGATAATTTTGGGGGCTATCCCAAAAGGAAACAGTTACTGAAGGAGAGGAGTCCCATGGGAGTATCAAGGGAAGATCAGAGACAGAGGTGTAAATTCCATGCCTTTTGTTCAGCAGCAGGAGGCAACACTTGGAAGGCAACATCTCTTTTATGACACCTTAGCATTCTCCAAGAACCACTTGCTGAAGTCCAGACTTCTCACTTGGTCAAAAGCTCTGCACTCTGTCTATACAGAGCCCTTAAGCTTGCCTTCCTCTCCTGCCTACTTTGTCTCTCTGTAAGGAGTATGGTGAGCTTTGGGATCTAACTGGTCCTCAGGGCTGGTTTGAAAAGTCAACAGTCCCTGTCTCTCTCCTCTCCAGCCACATTGGCCAGCTGTTTTGTGACTGATTGATCCAAAAGTGAAAGATTTCTGAACAGAGTGTTTCTGGGCCCAGCTCAGTGTCATCCTTCTGCACACCAAAGTGTGTGTGTGTGTGTGTGTGTGTGTGTGTGTGTGTGTGTGTGTGTGTGTAACAGTTTTCTTTTGGTGGTGGGAAAAGAAAAGAAGGAAGGAAGGGAGGGAGAGAGGAAGGAAGGGAGAAAAGGTGTTTCTAATGATCTATTTGCTTGTTTTGCATCTTTGCTGCTTGTTGTTTATTTCATAGAACAGAAAAAGCGAAATTGTCCCTAACTCTGACCTCTTCCTGGACAGTTTGTGAAAACTGAAGCCTGTGAGGAAAACACCTGCTCTGCTTTGTGTTCTTCTCTCTATTCTGTGTTAGGAACGGCCATCTTGGCAAGTGAAGAGGCCTAATGTTCATACTATGGAAGAAGCAGGGTTACCTTTAGTGGGAGGTTCCCAGGGGGCAAGTTGAATGATCTTGTGAAAAAAACAGCCCTTGGGACTTGTCTGGATAAAGTCCAAGGCATCTCATTTTTTTAATCCAGAATCTAGATAGCAAACTGCAAAGCTTAGGAGAGGTGGAAGCTGATGACCAGTTTCCTGGCATGCAGTATAGTGGAGAACTAGACACAAGTAGCCCACATTTGATGCCTAGAGATCCCAGAAAAATATCCTAAGACACAAACCCCAGGGGTGGGTATGTGGTAAAAGCTGCTATTTCCTCTCTGATGTGGACAGAGAGAAAGAGAAGAAAAGCAGAACGAAACCACTGAATGGCTGCTTTGTAGTATCTAGCCATTAAGATCTTCTAGAACAGTTATTTTCAATCCCTATTAAACAATGGGGAAACCAAGTCTCTCAGAGACCTTCCTGGAGTTAACAAGAGCAAAACAGGAATGCCAACACCTATCCATCAGAGGTTGAGTCCCGTGTTTTCCCCATCCTCCTTCCCAGCACTGGAGAGGCAGAGGCAGGTGAATCTCTGTGAATTCAAGGCCAGCCTGATCTACAGAGTGAATTCCAGGGTAGGCTCCAAAGCTACACAGAGGAACCCTGTCTAAAAAGTAGATAGATAGATAGATAGATAGATAGATAGATAGATAGATGATAGATAAACTAGAAAATAGAAATTCGTTTTAAATAATGTTCAGTTTGTGGTCATGATAATTGCAATAATTAGTAATTATCAGCTATCAGTGTCTAGAAAGCTAGATATCCTGGCATCAAGCATGATAGGATATGCCTCATCTTTAAATATAGAAAAGTTTTATGGATGGTCCTTAGCTTTCTTCTGAGCCAAAAATTAGACAAGTTCCCTCTCCTAGTGGAACCTTCCTCCCTCCACAGTCCTTGGTGCCATGGCAGCCATGGCTTGACAAAGCAGCATGTTCCTCCATAGAAGAGACCCACTGTGAAATACTTCTTCATGTTGAGCTAAATCTGCCTCCTGATCCCTCTAGTTTTCAATAATTAGTCTCTTTTCTGTCCTATGAAGTAACTCACAATAAACCTTTCCCTTCTCTTTGGAAAAATGACTGAAGGCCACTATTGTGTCCATATTCTGTTGTATCTTTATAAATAACTCCCAAATCCTTCAACATTACGATAAGGGATGGTCTCCAGACCCTGTCCCTCATTCTCATCTGCCTTGCATTGATATGCTCTGTTGGTGTTCTGAAAGCTCAACTTCACTCTTACTCCCACTATGAAGCAAGAAGCTCCCAGATGCTTCCAAGATTCAGGGCTCTATAATACAACTTAGCCTGACAATAGCTCTTAGAAATCTTACACATTGTCACTTCACCTTTAGCCTATATCTAACCAAGGTCCTTGGGCCCTCATCATAGAAACTGCTATAGGCAAGTGTCTTTCAGTATGATCCCAGTTGGCTGCCATCTTGATTACAGAGGCCTATTTCACACACATCACTCCAAGGTCTTGTTGTACAATGGAGCAACAAGTCATTGGGACTTGGAGACATGAGCTCAATGAAGTGGCTCTGATGTCTGGGTTACTTCTCTCTTGTTATAAGCTTCAGGACTCTCAATCCTGTGTGCTCAGCATATCATAACTACAAGGTCCTTTTCCAGTGAGAAAGAAAGGTAGGGGAAGCCTAACTACAGAGCGGGTTCTCATCTGCTCTGAGCTCAAGCCTTCTGCTTTCAGTTAGCATAACTAGTTTCACAGGCAGTGGATCAATATAACCTTTACAACCACCTATTAAAAAAATTACTATTCTAAAAAATTACTATTATCAATCCCAATTATATGATATGACAAAATGAGGAATTGGACGCTCTTGGAATTTGGGCAATTTGTCCAAGCTCACACAGAAAGAAGCAGATTTGTAAATCCAGTCAAGGCCGTCTACTTCCAAATCCTGCCTGCTCTTTTACAACAAGTTCATAGGAAAGAAGGGTGGGACAGATGGAAGGGAAGAGACTTTTATAGTTCTGGAAAAAAGAAAAACTTGAAGACCTATAAATGTGCTGACCCTGAGCTGAATGCTAAATTAACTTGAAATTCTCCACCTGCATCCGAAGCAGGGAGGGTGAGAGCATGTGGCACATGTGTGTGCCCTTCCTTCACCCCCCCCACCCATGATAGTTATTAGCTTTTAGTTACTGGTACAAAATACTCAAGAAAATGGACTTAAGGCAGGAAAAGTTTATTGTGTTTATGGTTCCAAAGGATTCAATGTATAGTCAACTGGATTCATCACTTGTAAGTGGTAAAGCAGGAACACCATGGTAGAAAGGCATGGAGGAATGCTGCTTGCCCCATGGTAACCAGGAAGTAGACAATGAAAGGACACAGAACAAGACATTCCCTTCCAGGGCACACCTCCAGTGAAGCTACTTCCTCCATACATCCTATCTCCTACTTTGGGCACCTCCCGATAATATTCTGAAATAATCAAAGGATGAATCCACTCATTACAACAGAGTCCTCATGACCCACTTATCCCTGGAAATGGCCTCATAGACACACCTAGAGGTGTGTTCTACTAATCTCCTGAGTATACATTAATCCAGTCAAGTTGAGACTAACCATCATACTTACTACTAACTCAGTGTTCCAGGCACAGGTCCTGGGTATAAGGAACATAGCCATTAAGACATGTAGTCAGATTACATTCTGAACAGAGGAGAATTAGGCAATAACATGCTGGCAACTTAATAAGACAAATTCAAACCAGATGCGGTGGCTAACACTTGTCATCTCAGCACCCAGGAGGTTGAAACAGGAGCATTTCCATGAGTCAGAGACCAGCCTGGGGAACTTGGGCTACAGAGTAAGACCCTATCTCACAAATTAATTACAATATTGCTTAGTACTCTGGAAAGTAATAGTGATGCAATAGGATTCTACGAACATGAAGAATTCTGATTGCAGTCCTAGGGAAGGCCTGTCTGGGAGGGCAAAATCTGACCAGATGCAGGTTGGGTATGACAGGGAATGTGTACCCTACAAACATTTACTAGTTAAATGTTTGGGGGAATTGACTGAGTGGCTTAGGGATTAGGTGATTGAGAGGTAAGTGCTGGGTGTCTTGGGACCTAAGTATTTGGCAGCTCAAATGATATAAATACCACTTGCTGATGTGGAAGTTTTTGTACTAGTTAATTTAACTTTATCTCTTTTATCTCTTGCAGATTCCTGTTTTGAGACAAATTGTAAGTCTTACCTGTCTCTTCTGATTCCTGAGCCAACATTTTAATGGGAAGGGATATGATAGTGCCACTGTGGTTCCTCACTTGCAAGGAAGACCTAGAGCAGGTTTTCAGAGTCCCTAACTAGAGTCCAGGACAAAGGAAGAACAGGGCTCCACCGGCTTAGGTTCCAGATGTTTCCAGTCTCATGGGAGTCTTTGCAGGGTAGCACTGAGGTCCCTCATAGTCTCTTCAACATGGCTCTAGCTGTTGGCCCTCCTCTCAGTGTGGCTCTGGGGGGCCAGGGTTTGGACTCCTGTCCCTTCTCCAGACATGGAAGCCCCACTTTTGTCTTAGTCTTCTTTTCTTCCTCAGCTTCTTGCCCTCCATCTCCTCCTGTCTCATAGCCTTCATGGTGTTTTCCATCAAGCAGAGGAAAACTCTGAGCTGTGGGCATCTTGACCTCTGTGATACATGCAGAAGTCGCTCAAATTCATGTACTTGAACACCACTGCTCTGCTTCTAAGTGAGTGCAGGAGGCCTTAAGCATCCAGGGAGATCCAGACAAAGGCAAGAGGGGCTGGAACCAATGTCAGCACTTCTTATCTGATTACTCATCATGAATCTTAGACTCTTTGTCCAGACTCCTAAGGCAGTCTGAGCTAGTCATGTCTAACACGTCAAAAAGTTACAGCCTGGGAACAGACCCAACATGCCTGCCTGGCAGATGATGGTAGATCTTTAGGACCCCTTATCTTGTCCTCATCAGAGCTCAGAGAGCCTGTTAGGAGGACAGACAGAGATAAAACATCTCTCCTAGACTGACAGAAGATGGAAGTCCCTTCTCAGGGTAGAGATGAACACTAGGTCTGGGGAAGCCTAGAGAAAAAGTTGTTTTTTGCTGCTGTTGTTTTCCTGGTGGGCATTTATGTAGCTCTCATCAGGGGCAGTGGTTGAAGAAAATGCCACACTGGGGGATTTGAACCAACAGAGGAAGGAGGAAACAGAATCGAGAGAAACAAAATCAGACAATGGAAAGGATGAAATGAGCTTAGAAAATTTGACAGTGTGGTGGGAAGAGAAAGATGGGTTGGAAGAAATCCAGGAGAAGGCACAGGAGGGGATAGGTTCAGGGGAATCAGAAGACTAAAGAAAGTGTGGTCAGGAACAGGCCAGCAAGAGAAAAGGAAGTTGAGCTTCTGCCCAACCCTGGTCTAGCATGAAGACCCAGAAACAAAGGCACTGTGCAGGAGTCTCATTCCCTAGTGTGAGACCTACATCTGGAGCAGAGAGAGACCAGTAAAGCAATGGGACCTGTCATTCCATGGCTGGCTCTGTCTCCATACCCCATAGCTAAGGTGCATCTCCAAGTCCAGCCAAACCCTGTGTTTGAAGGAGACACGCTGACTCTACAATGCAGTGCAACGAACCACACGCTGTCCCAGGTGAAGTTCTACAAAGATGGAAAATTCCTTAATATCTCTGTGAACAACAGCTCTCTGTCCATAAAGACCACAACAGTGAGAAACAGCGGGAATTACAGCTGCAGTGGGAAAATGGTACATTTTGAACAAGTCTCACAGCTAGTCATGATTGAAGTCCAAGGTGAGTCACCAGTTGGAGAGGTCTAGTGTGACAGTAAGGCATGTTTCAGGGATCCTGGAGGTCAATGGCTGTCTAGGACCCCTTATGCTAGATGATGTTGAGCCAATTCATTGGGTCCTGAGATATCCACAATGATGTCCAACATGTAGCTAGAGGATACAAGGCATTTGGAAGAGCCCTGGGCCAGCATATCTACCCAGTTTTCCCCTCTGAGGACCACAACCACTAAGGGGTTATCTGGTTCTGACTTTCTGGGGTTCCCACAGAACCTGGCTTTGTAGGAGTCACTTCATACTCACTGCATGAGGACAATGGACAAGCTCTGAGGATGTAAACTATCTCTCCTTCTGGGTCTCAGAGTGATAGCCTGTGTGATGCAAAGATCAGTCCTCAGCCTCCAGGGCTATGCTGTCTGGGACTTTCTTCCTGAGCCTTGGGCTTGTGTCTCCCCAGAGTTGTTCCAGACTCCTGTGCTGAGCTCTGTCCTCCCTCCATACTTCCAAGAGGGGAGACCACTGGTCCTGAGGTGTCAGACACAGCTGCACCCCCAGAAGCTAGCCTTGTGGTCCTTTTACTCTTTCTACAAGGACAGTCATGTCATTCAGGACAAGAGTCACGACCCAATATTTCACATCTCAGAAATCAAGGAGAAAGACTCTGGGCTTTACCAGTGTGCAGTGGCCACTAAGGATGGCCTAATCCAGAAACAAAGTCAACATTTTGAGATCCATGTACAGGGTAAGTTGATAAGGGAAGAGAGAACTCCTCAAGGATCCAGACATCAGGCAGCAGGCCTGCATGGGAGTAAGTAAGAGGTTCCAGGGGAGAAGGTATCCTGGATCCTGGGCAGTCAGGCTGACTCTCCGGTTCCATATGCCATCCAGTGCCTGTATCCCATCCTGTGGTTACTCTGCGACATGAAGCTGCTAACCCTGCTGCAGGAGACATGGTGGAGTTTCTCTGTGAGGTCCAGAGCGGCTCCCTTCCAATCTTGTATTCATTCTACCTTAATGGAGAGATACTAGGGGAATCCCTGGCTTCCACAGACAGAGTCGCCTCCCTCCGCATCTCAGCAAAGCCAGAGTGGAGTATTCAGGATTATTCCTGTGAAGCTAAAAACCATGTCTCCAAAGAGATGAGTGAGCCTGAGAAGTTCCCCATGGTTGGTATGTTTTGTCCCACACAATCTCTGAGCCCCAGTCAGTTCTCACGCCTCTGTCACTTCCCACCACACCTACCACAATAATGACTTATGGCAGGCAGGCTCTGTCTATCTTCTGAACTGCAGAGGGTGGGGAGCCCAATATGGGAGGGGTTACATGGCCATCCATTGCATGATCAGTCAAGCTAGCTCCTTATGTGCCATCTTTCTCTCCCACTTACAAGGCTTCTCTCGGCCATGTGTTTTGTTTTTTTTTTTTTTTTTTTTTTGGTTTTGTTTTGGTTTTTTGTTTGTTTGTTTGTTTGCTTGTTGTGTTTTCAAAGTTGCCCACTGTGTCTCCTGTGTCAGTTTGGTATGTATTTCTGAATTTCTGCGATGCACATAATTACTTCCCCATTCTCAGGTCCTCAAGTCTTGTCTGCCTCAACCAACAGCAACTGGACAATTGCTTGGATACTTGCAAGCCTGCTTGGTGGGATAGTCCTTGCCACTGTGTTTCTAATTTGCTTCTTCAGGCCCTGTAAAAAAAATGGTTAGTAACTCTTTTTGATTCCTTACTTGTTAAATCTCTGGTATTTGCCAGCCTTTGAGAAACCACAGCCTGACAAGCATAGCCATTCTCTTTACCTGAGTCCTATGTGAGAAGATTTTTTTCTTTCCATGTCCCACAAAGGAACACTCAAAAGGACACAGAGAGTTTTCAGTATACACACAGAGATATCTAACCTCATATGATCGCAGTCACAGAGATGCAAACCCACTATTACACACTCAGGCATGAACAGAAGCATGAACCCTAGAATTCTTACAAGGTGGATATGATTTATATTGGTGGCCTTCACATTCCAAAGGTAATCTGTGGCACTGAATATGATGGGGGATAAAATGCTGAAGAAGGGCTTATGCCTCTCTCACTAAACGCAGCAGTCCTCAAGTCTGCTGAGAGATAGATAGTAAATAAGAGATAGGATGCACAAGTCCATACATGCACACCCACTGTGGACAGTGTGGTACCCAGGGTGAGTCGTCATTGGTATTAACACAACAGAAAGGAAATATGATAGAGAGGACAGATCAATGGCCAACTCCCAACCCGGCCACTCTGTGGCTTGATCATAGCTCTCTAAGAGTCATCAAATTATCTCCCTCTCAGGGATATCGTGAGGCTTTAAATTAATGAGATAAAATACAGCTACAAGTAATGGGTTCAAGTGGTACATAAGTGGCTGCCTGATAAGTTCCCATTCTGGCAGAAGCAGATCATTCACCAAGTTCCTCCAGTGTTTATCTTCTAAAAAGGCCAGTTAAAATTCTAATGTGGACAATTCTGTAGAGAAGAGATAAAAAAAATCAGAAACTTGAATTTTTTAGTTTCTCTGTAACTTTTGATATCTCACACTCTTTTCTCTGTCTTGATGATGATATTTAAGCATGAATTTATGCTAGCTTTCAAAATAATCACTTTGTAATCTACATGTTTATTCCCCCTTGAAGCCTCATTTACTTCAAGCCATACTTAAAGAAATGGCTATCAGTTTCAAGGATGTTTGGTTCCCATTTGTTTCTAGGTCTTTAAATGTACCTACAGATATTTAAATCAACCCACCTCTCCCTCCATGGGGACAATATTCTGATTTTCTATTTAGTCTAGGGGAAAAGTGGTTGCTTTAATAGACTTCTAAAGCAAGATGTATTTATTCAAGTTGGCAGCTCCTTCTGCCAAGAAAATTTTGATGAGTTTTCAGGAAGCTCACTTATTCATTAAGATAGACCATCCCCATGAATTCAAGAGTTCCCCTCTGGCTAATCCAGGAACCCTGAAAAGTGTTCTCTCTAAGCCCAGGACCAATTTCTTCCCTCACTGGATACCCAGTTAGGGTTTTGGCTAGTGTTTAACTTCTTTTCCTTTTATCAGTATAACAGTCTTTACCCATCCAACTTCCCATCACCTCCTTCTTTCTCATCTAAAGTCTACAACCTGTTCAGGTGGCATTTGCTTTCACACCTTTCTGCATAATAGAAAAAATGGAGTTGGGTCCAGAGGTAGATGGGAAGATCCCAATCTGTAGTTTTTCCTGATTCCAAATTAAATAGCTGTAAAGGGGCCTGCACTCTCTTGGGTAAGGGCACTAGCCAAGAGGTGAGAGGAGATGGATGCAGACATCCTGACCTGAATGTTTCTCTTTGCACAGCCAGACTCGAGGAGCTCCCCACAGAAGAACAAGTAAGCAGGAACCCCTGACCTTCCTCACCCTTTGTCACGTGTCTGCTTCCCTGTACTGACCTAGCTTTCCTGCAGGACATTCACATCTATGCATCAGTGAAAAAGCCAGGGAAAAAACCACAGCTGAGTGAGACTGCTACTAATGATCTGGACCCAAACAACACGACCAGTCAAGAGTCCCTCAGTGTCTGATGATAGAATTCCCTACTTGTGCAGTGCCTGAATCCAACATCTGCCCATGCCCACCCTCCAGCACCCAGCACCCACTGCTCCCCAGTTGCTCTCCAGTGCTGCCCAGTTGTGCCCAGCTCTTTCTGTGGGTCACCCAGTTCCTGAGCACACAGGGAGGGAGCCCCTGTGCCCTATTCCTGGCCAGGAAATTCTGAGTGGGAAACCAGGCAATAGTGTGGGAATGAACAACTCCCACTTTCACACAGACACGGACACAGTTCCAGAAGTAACATTGGACCCAGAGGCACAGATCTCTTCTTTAAATGCAAATGTAAAAGGGTTTTTGTTCCAGATAGACAGATAATTGATTGAGTGATTGATAGATAGATAGATAGATAGATAGATATGATGAATGATAGATGAATATAGAGATAGACATAGATGATAGAGATGATAGATAAATATAAAGATAGACATAGATGATAGAGATGATAAATGGTAGATGCATAGGTGAATATATAGAGATAGATAGATAGATAGATAGGTAACATAGTTAACATAACAGACAAATGATAATAGATAAGATACTAGATAACTAAATACAAATACGTGTGTTTGTGCATAAATACACACAGATAAATAGATTTTATACAAAAAGAGAATATGCTTGCCTTTATCCTGAAAGGAAAGTATGAAGCTGTGACTACAGGACTAAAAGACTTCTTGGAAGTTCAGCAAGACTAAGGTCAGGCCGCAAATTCCATAGAATCTCCACCTGCAGCTCTGAACAAGTTCAGCTGGGAGACAGAACTCAGCTTGCCCAGAGCTTCCAGATTGCAGAGCACACCAAAAAAGCATGCCATTGCTTTCTTGATTTAAAAAAAAAAATGGTTGTAAATCTATTTTGTTAAAAGAACTATGCACATTTGTTGCCTGTTTTTCATGTCCGTGTAGATCATTTGTTGGTTTGAGGCATCCACACTCAGTAAAAGGATCTGATACATGCTCCTTTAGGCCCAGCTTTACTGGAATCACAGACAGTAGAATCTGACTTACCTACAAAGGAGACATCAATGTTATCTTCCAGGCACCGTGGACCCGATAACATCTTATATAGTGGCTCCCCAGACTCCCCAACACCAACACTGTCATTATTACCTGGTGCTTATAGAAAAGCAGCTGTTCAGACCCAACCCCAGACCTGCTGGATGACAATCTGAATTTCAATATGATCCCCAGGCAAATTGCAAGTGCTTTTCAAATGGGCTGATCTGTTTACAAGATACATCATGGAAATGCATCCATCCCCTTAATTGCCTTTGGTTCTGCCCCGAAGATGGGGAACTAGAAAGACACCCACGCTATCATTTACTGTTCACTTCTATACCCTTTCCCTCCTTCCCTTCTCCCACCCCAACCCCTTTCCTCCCTCACCCTGGTTTCTCCAACCACCAATCTAGTCCATGTCCAGGAAACACTGAGCCTCTCTCTTTGGAGAGCCTGTTGAGCAGTCCAAGCCAGATATTCTAGAGGCAGAGGACCCCATGGGTCAGCCAGAGTGTGCTTGTGGACCCCAAGCCTTTGCTACTCCCTTGATAGAAAAAACTGTCCCCTTAATAAAATACCAAAACACAGACATGTCAGCTCATGAAGGAAAACACTGTTACTAAAGCCCTGGGAGCCTCCAGCCCCTCCCTTCCAGTTGTTCCCAGGGACAGAGCACCTCTTGCTCAGGCGTCCCACTTCCCCTACACCAGTGACCCAGGTTGGTGCTGGTCTGTGAATTGCTTTCAAGAAAGCAGTGATAAATACAAAAGTTATGGCAAATATTTAGAAACTTGTATAGCAACCTGACAGTAATTTTATGTTTTTTAATACAATCATAAAAAAATAGAGCTTATATTTTGTAGGTGTGCCTTTTTTATTTCGTTTTTCTAGTAATTTGTTTTTATTACAGTCTACAAAAGTACAAGTCCACAATGGGTTGGAAATTTAAAAAACAAACAAACTAATAACAGGTTGTTTGGCTCAGATGGATAAGAAACCCATCTACGCGCACACACACACACACACATACACACACACACACACACACACATACCACTTCTAGCTACTCAGGAACTTTGCTCTCTCCCTGGTATCTTTGCAGACCTGTGTGCACAACTGAAAATATCCTTTTCCCTCAGTTTAGAAAGGAATAAACTGCAAATTTTTTTGTCAAAAAATTAACCATTACTAAGTAAAAGAAATGAAAACTCCCCCCAAAGTGCAGGGAGTAGAGTTATCTGAAGATGCCCATACTTGTCAGCCCATACTGTCCCTGTTTTGTGGGGTGTTAGCATCCAGACCAAGACCTCACATACAGTCTGGGGGGATGTATCTCACAGCAGAAAAGGGACACCATCAGTTCTCAAGGGAGAGACTCTGTTGACACTGAGGAAGGGCATTGGAGAGTACTGGAGACTGCTGGATGCCACCACAGGCATCTGATGATACTAGTCACGAGACTGTCCATCTGCAGCCCCACACATTCTATACTATGAAACATCCTTTTCTCTCCAAGTCAGAGTTAAATGCAAACCTTTATGCATGTAGAGAAATGCATTGACTGTGCCTTTTCTAGTGACCTGGGCTCTATAGACTCATACCACCTAAAGGACAAGACTTCAGTGTCTGGGTAGTTCAGCAACACTGAATTGCTTCTTAGAGAAGGGAGAAGGAAGCCCACAGCTGGGAGCCTCGTGGCTGCCCTCTGCTGGCCCTCTTCAGTACTCAGGTGTTAACGTGCTACCTACACTCGCTCTGACCCACTCATGGGTAAACTACATCTTAAAACGTGGGGACTGGGAGAGCAGCTCAGTTGGTACTTGCTAGACATGCAGGAAGTCCTGGCAGCACCTCAGAAAATGATGTGGTGATGGGTAGCTGGAGACAGGAGGATCAGAAGTTTAATGTCATCTTCAGCTACATTGTGAGTTCCAGAATAGTCCAGGCTATATGAATACCTGGTCATTGTTTTGTACATGACTATACAGTTTAGGTGCAAGACAAAACGGAAGCAAGAGGGTTGCATGCCTTAGGGTCCCTTTCAATTCCAGGTTGGTTTATATTTGGCTAAGAAATGAGGTCTACATTTCTATTTAAATGAGAAACTCTGTGTCATTTGTGGTCTCAGTTCCTTCCGAACTGCTGAAGGCAGCAGCAGCTTGCAGGACCTAGAGTCCTCAGCAAGTCTGCCTCTGCTTCTGCCTCTCACACTGCTCACAGAGCCTCTAGTTCAGGAAGTAGCCCATGTCTACTTATTTCTGGTATGTTTTCCACGTGGAACACACCAATAGTGATGGTCACTTTCCTCATCAATGCAGGATTGCTGCCACCCAGCATGTGAGTTCTGACCTCCAGCTTACACATGCTGGATGCTCTATAGGTGTTTCTTTGATGCAGTGGACTGTGGGAGCTAAGAACCCAACAAGTGTTGGTGAAGGATGAATGTATAAATGAGCTTCCAGTTCCCCCTCTCTACCTCAATAAAATCCCATGGTGGCCTGGTGTCCTTTAATGCAGCCTTCCTTCATATCTTTCTAAAGGTATCTCATGGCCCCAAAAGCAGAGGAGCCCTAAGATGGACACCCCACCCACCCACTCTCTTGCTGGTATCCCCTCCTACTTGCTCCTTCTCTCCCACTCTGTGCACCATGCCCCTGGCTCACTAAAGACATCGTCCCTTCTGCCTCCTTACAACAGGCTAGAGCCAGGGTGAGGTAGGAAATCTGAATGTGATAGAATTGTAGGAGACCTTGCCGGCACAGTCTCAGGGGCGATCGGTAAGGTACATCCAATGCACACATGCAGAAAGAGTGACAGTGGCTATTTCTAGGAAGTGGCTGAAGTGTATCCGCATGGTGTTTTACCTTGGGGGTCTGTCTTCCTGCAGTACCACAGCTGTACAAGAAGGCTGACTAGGGAGGGGCTGATGGGGCAGAGAGGGCCAGAGAAAGCAGATAATGAGGAACAAAAAGCCAATCAGGCATTTCAAAAGTTACAGTTCCGATAAAATTGAAACCGTGCTGGGGCCATAACAGGTAGAGTGCTTACTTAGCATTCACAAAGCATCTGATTCAATCCCCTAGTACCCCATAAACTGGAAGTGGTGGGGCACATCTATATTCTCAGCATTCAGGGGATAGAGACAGGAGGGGTCAGAAGTTCAAGGTCACTTTTTATTACCAGTGAGTTCAAGGCCAGCTTGTAACACATGAGGCCCCGTGAACATGAACTAGTCTCCTTCCAGTTAACTGATTAAGCAATTTCTCGCTTTTTAGAAACTTGTCTAGTAGGAATAACTCCAATCTGGTTTGGTCTGGTCAGGATCTCAGTCCACAACGCCCTCCTTCAAGTTTGATGGGGCAGTAGACTTCTGCCTGCTCTCTTCAGCCCCAGTTGTACATGTCCCCTCAGAGATGCACCTAGAGGCTACCCATTCCCCAGTACCACCTGGGGCCTTTCCCTTCTCTCCTGGTTCCCTAGGAGCTTGCTGAATGCCTCTTCCTCCACAGCCACTCTGCCTTAGCCTCTTTCCCTGCCCGGGTCTCCTCTCTCCCGGCCTTCTTGCCTTCTCTCAACCTTCTCACTTCTCCCTGCGGAAGAATCATGGTCCCAGGCTGCCGGTGCAGACTGGACATTACAAACACAGCTTGGCTCACCCTCACCCAATCGGTCCCAGCCTGAATCTCTGCACCAAGCAGCCCTGTGTTTTATGTTCAGGCAGGTTGCTTGGCCACCTGCTCACCCTTCCTGTAGCCAGTGGTAAAAATGGGCTAATGGTGAGACCCAGGCTGCAACACATGGCAGATGAAGCCACTTCTCCATCCTCAGTATGCGCGCTGCACGCAGGCTCCTCCTGACTCCAGCTTCCCAGAAAGGCCCCCGGGGAGACAGGAGTAGCAGCCCTAGCTGCCAGCTGCTCTCTTAATTAAGGAATGCAGGGAGTGGCCCCTTTGAACTCACCTGCTAATTTACTC